GAAAATGGTGTAACCACTATGGAATGCTGTATGGCGCTTTCTCAAAAAATTGAAATAGTGATACCATTTGACCCAGTAATTTCACTACTGAGAATATATCCCAAAGAAACCATAACCACCACCCAAGAAGATATATGCATACCCATGTCCATTTGTAAAGGGGGAGGGTGGTAGTGATGCCTACATCAAATTGCCATCTGACCACATGGTAGAGGGGAGGGGGGAATGGTGGCAGCACTGGAACTGAGGGAACTGTCCCAAGTCATGGTTTTCAGTGAGGCACAGGGTCCAGACCTCATGGGGAGGACTTCAGTACTGAGGCGTGCCGTCTGGCCCCCGGGGTGTGCCGCCCGTTCCCCAAGTGTGTTGTCCTGCACTCAGGGTGACATTCTGCCTCAGGTGTTAGCTGTTCAGCTCTTAGGGAGAGCTGATCAGCCCTCAGGGTGTGCCATCCAGACCCAGGGAGAGCCGTTAGGTCCTTGGGGTGAGTTGTTCGGCCCTCAGGTGAGCCTTTTAGCCCTCAGAGTGAGCTGTTCGACCCTCAGGGTGAGCCATTCGGGCCTTGGGTTGTGCCATTCAGTACCTACAGAGAGTCATTTGGCCCCCAGGATATGCTGTCTGGTTCTCAGGTCATGCCGTTCGGCTCTTGGTGTGTGCCATCCAACCCCTGGGAAGAGTCTTTAGGTCCCTGAGGAAAACTACCTAGGGTATACAGAGAATTTTATCTAGGCCATTTTTCTCCACCCTCTCCCCCAGTACACCCATAAGTAAAACCTCCAGAGCCCTTCTATTTGTAATTCACAAGTTCTCTTTAGGTTTGCTCCCTTTCCTATAGGTAACCTGAACACTGAGTTTTACTCCAGACCTGAACCCTGAACCCAGTTCCAGAGACAAAAGAGAAATATAATTGCCAGCTAAGAAAGCAAAGGAGGATGGAGCCTCAGGGTTCAGCCAGCCATCCCCACTGGACCCACCTTGGCAAACATTTTGCAGTACAGAGGG